TTAAAACAGCAAATTTGCAGTGTTTATTGTATGTTTTTTATAGTTGTATTTGCGATTTCTTGGTCTCGTTTGATAGAATGGAAGACATATTATAGAAATAGAGATAATTTTGATTGGTTTTATTACTGGAAATGGCTTGAAACTGAGCTCAAAGTAGCGGAAATGTTAAATTTTTTCCGATGTTCAAGAGTAAACAAATGCATTCACACATCTAATACACACCTGCTGGTGGGTCTAATACATGCTCACAAATGTGCTGATATTATTTATACAATTATTACAATATTGCATAACAGTATTATTATTATTATTATTATAATAAAAAAGAAGTGCTAAGCCACAAGGACTTGCATAACAGTAAATCTTCTATTTTTTGGTTTGAATAAAAATTCATTAAGTGAATAAAAAATCAAAATGGAATTCATTAGTAAAGCCTCAAAACGTAACTAATGAACAGAGGAAATGTTAGTTTAGTGCCAGGAATGCCTGCATTGTTTATTCTGGACCCTATTTTGAAACTGGAATATTTTGAACTTTGCATGAAATTGGCCAAATTGCCAATTTCCGATCACTTTATTTTGTAGTTGAAACAGTTGACTTGGCGAATTCTCATGCTCAATCGATAGAATAGACATAATACTAGTGAAATAACTAAGAATTTGGTTGACTGGAATAATGTAATTGGCCTAAAATGGGAGTCAAAGTCTGCAAAATTGCCGATGCGTAAATATCGCTGACACATTGAATATCAGATTGAATATCAGATTGGAGGGAGAGAGTATGGAGGAGGTGAACGTATTCAGATATTTGGGAGTGGACGTGTCAGCGGATGGGTCTATGAAAGATGAGGTGAATCATAGAATTGATGAGGGAAAAAGAGTGAGTGGTGCACTTAGGAGTCTGTGGAGACAAAGAACTTTGTCCTTGGAGGCAAAGAGGGGAATGTATGAGAGTATAGTTTTAACCAACTCTTTTATATGGGTGTGAAGCGGGGGTGATGAAATTTTGCAGCGAGGAGAAGGCTGGAGCAGTGGAGATGTCATGTCTGGGGGCAATGTGTGGTGTGAATATAATGCAGAGAATTCGTATTTTGGGAAATTTTAGGGAGGTGCGGGATTACCAAAACTGTTGTCCAGAGGGCTGAGGAAGGGTTGTTGAGGTGGTTCGGACATGTAGAGAGAATGGAGCGAAACAGAATGACTTCAGAGTGTATCAGTCTGTAGTGGAAGGAAGGCGGGGTAGGGGTCGGCCTAGGAAGGGTTGGAGGGAGGGGGTAAAGGAGGTTTTGTGTGCGAGGGGCTTGGACTTCCAGCAGGCATGCGTGAGCGTGTTTGATAGGAGTGAATGGAGACAAATGGTTTTTAATACTTGACGTGCTGTTGGAGTGTGAGCAAAGTAACATTTATGAAGGGATTCAGGGAAACCGGCAGGCCGGGCTTGAGTCCTGGAGATGGGAAGTACAGTGCCTGCACTCTGAAGGAGGGGTGTTAATGTTGCAGTTTAAAAACTGTAGTGTAAAGCACCCTTCTGGCAAGACAGTGATGGAGTGAATGATGGTGAAAGTTTTTCTTTTTCGGGCCACCCTGCCTTGGTGGGAATCGGCCGGTGTGATAATAAAAAACATTAAAATTCGCAAGAGCATAATTTCGTCAATTTTCCATCAAATTTTGTACTTCTTGTTTTTTTACCCTCAGAAAAAGATTATCTACCATTTCAGAAGAAAAAATAACAAAATTATTTTTTTAAAATTTTGGACACTGGTGCAACCTTTGAAATTTGGCCTCTGGACCCTGAAAAGGTTAATGTTCTGTATATTTAGTAGGCACAATAAAAAGAGTGTATGTCTTGTATATTTAGCAAGTTGAGTCTTTTGAAAAGTGGTGGGGTGTGTTGTCTAGCACAGGAGCTGGTTATCACCCGCACAGCAGCTTTTTGTTGGATTATTAAGGGTCTAAGGTGGTTGGCTGTGGTTGAGCCCCAGGCACAGATACCATAGGTGAGTGGTACAAGGTAAGGAGAGTCGTTTGTGGTACATAGTATCATATCTTGGAAAGGATTCCTACTGATTTGGAAATTTTCTTGGCTATGTGATGGGTATGGGACTGAAATTTAAGATTACAGTCAAGGAGAAGACCTAGAAATTTGCCCTCCATGTGTCTTGATATAGGGGAACCATTTAACAGCATGTCAAGTTGGATATTTGAGGCTCTGTTGCCAAACACCACGAAGTATGTTTTGTCTATGTTGAGCGTGAGTTTGTTGGTTTTCATCCAAGCATGTATCTTTAGCAGTTCATTGTTGTAAACAATGAACTGCTAAAGATATATGCTTGGATGAAGGAGTTGGGATGCATTGGGGAGATCATTGATGTAGATGAGAAAGAGGAATGGGCCTAGGACACTACCCTGGGGTACTCCTACAGTTACAGGTTGGATAGCGGAGTTGACTCCATTTGCACGTACATACTGGTGTCTGTCGTTAAGATAGGATTTTAGATAGTCAAGAGAATGTCCTCTTATGCCATAATGATTCAGTTTGAGGTGCAAGAGATTGTGGTAGCAAGCCCCGAGGTGCCTGGTTTGCGAAACAGCAGTACAATGGCAGATTTCCATTGTTAAGGGAGAACCCCTCGCATCCAAATAAGATTGAAAAGACGCAAAAGGACTGTAATGGCTGTAGAATTCAGATGTTGTTGCATACTGATAGGAATATCATCAAACCCAGCTGCCAATGACTGGCAAGTGGAAAGCATGGGCCCTAGCTCTAGGAGAGTGAAAGGTAGGTTATATGGCTACATTCCACTAGAAGAGAAATCCAAGGGCAATTGCTTCTTGGTAGACTTAGAAGTAATAAATGAGGGGCAAAGGTGAAGCCCTTGGGAGACACAAACAAGATAGCTCCCGATTTCCATGGCAACTTCAAGAGGTTCTGCAACACTAACACCAGCAACCCGCAAAATGGTAGCTGGGTCCAGAGTGTACTAGCCACACAACTTCCATACCTTCTTCCAAACTGCACACACCCATGGCAACTTCAAGAGGTTCTGCAACACTAACTCCAGCAACCCGCAAAATGGTAGCTGGGTCCAGAGTGTACTAGCCACACAACTTCCAAACCTTCTTCCAAACTGCACACACAAGGGATGTCAAGGTAATGGTAGACATGTAGTCTTGCCAACAAGTGCATTTAGCATTGCACATGATAGAGCGAGCAACTGCCCTTGCCCGCTTAAAATCCAAAAAACGATCTGAGATCCGATTATATCAATAACGGCCCCATGCAGCACCTTTCAAATGCACTGCATGGGCACACGCAGGAGACCACCAAGGCACGCATATCTGAGAATGTTTGCCTGAGACTTGAGGAATAGGATGTGATGCTGCAGTCAAAACTAAGGTCAAAAAAGATGAAGGAGGGTCCCCACAAAAGGTGGTAAGATGAGAGTTCAAGTCCCAATTCGCTCATGCAAATTGTCAACAGGGGCTATGAGGCAGTCGGGAATATGTAGTAGAAGTAAGAAGAATAGGAAAGTGATCCCTGTTGTGTAAACCCGGGAGAACAGATCAAGTGTAACTAAGTGCAATTGACAAGGAAGAGATAGAAAGATCAATGCAAGAGAGAGACTGAGTGCAAGAGTCAAAATGGGTAGGAGCACCCATATTTAAAACATGAAGAGGATGAGAAGTGAGAAGAGTCTCCAACTGATCACCACAAGTCACAGTGAGACCCTCCCCACAGATGATGGTGAGCATTAAAATCACCTAACAACAAGATGGGCGGCGGTAAGAAGAGATCAAGAACGCAATATCCGAGATAGAGAATGCATGGGAGGGGGAGTGATAGAGAGCAAACTGTATACCATCTGTGCAAATAAATACGAGCTGCAGTATAATGCAGCAGAGAACAAACAAATACCTGTTGATATTGCATACCAACGCACACAAGAAGCACGCTCTCAATGAATGATTCATTGTAAGTAGGGGTGTAAGTAGGACCTGCTTAACATGGACCAGGCCAACTGTTTTCTTGACAATGAAGAGTACTCTAATTTGAAAATAAAAAAAAAATGATCTTTGAGTTTTTCCCAAGCATTAATCAATGCAAACAGAACCTATGAACTCTGGCTAAAATAATGACTTAAGTAACCATGAAGCGCAAAGTTGACAAAAAACAAATTATCACAAATGTTCGTATCATTTCCTTTGGTAAAATCAGTTCATTACAAAGCTACTGATACCAGTGATTAGTAAAATTTAGGTCTCATATGTCTGTAAAACAGCAATCAAGAATACTTTAATCACTAAAAAAAAAAAAAGGATTACACTACTATAAACTCTCAGGGAGTAAACACTGAGAAATACAGTGACACCTCGCATATCCGGCCTGCCATTATCTGAACCTCGCCAATATCCAAACAGGCCCTGGGAAAGAGCAAAATTCTAAAATTATTACTGTAGACATCCAGTAATAATGTGACTGAATCAAAATTGGCACGTACTTTAGTGTACCGGTTGGCCACTAGGAGCCAAGCTCTTCATCACCCCCACCACCCAAAGACGACCCTCTATGATATCAAGAAGGCTCATGATAAGATTATGGCATACACAAGTGAGTTTTCTGCCACCTCAAAAACTGGAAAAAGTGCCGAAAGAAAAGTGATGGCGAAGCCACAGAGCTTGGAACTCGATCAAACTTAAATTGGCTGCAGAAAAATTGAGCAAGCAGATCGACCTATCAGACTTCAAGGCATCTGCAGAAACTCCAGAATCAGTGTTGCACCCAGAACATTCCGAAGGTGACAACTACGACCCAACGCCTCCAAGACCAAAAACTTAAGCAGTAAGGGCAGGTGTCAAAACACTTTTGGAATATTTGGAGCATCCATTGTCCACAGCCCATTTGAAAAGTTATGGTCCTGTGGTCTGTGAGATCCAAGAGGCTGTTATTCGAGCCCAGAGTGTCTGGTCCCACCACCAGACGATGTTTTACTTTTTTTATACCTATAATGCCATCGCTGAAAGCCATATGATAGGGGGGTACAGATGGCAATATGACGGTACGGATGCGCATTTTGTCCCCTCACATATCTGGAAAACTCCGTGTTTCCAAACCGGTCTTGGCCCATATAGTTCGGATATGAGAGGTATCACTGTATACACTTCCTGGTGTACATATCCTTGTCTTAATGCTCATTCTTCCATTGTCTTAATAAAGCCACAGAATTTTGCTGAAATTTTCACATATGGTAGAACCTCTACTTACGAGTGCCCTGATGTGTGAATTTTTCAAGATACAAGAAGTTGGTCGATTTTTTGCTTCCAGATGTGAGTGAAATTTCAAGATGCGAGTGAGCCTCAAGGGAGGTTCCGCGACGCTGGTGAGGGGCTCTTGCTCTTGATTTAAGGAATTGGATCTCAGCTGATTGTTCGACTATCTTATTGAAACTTAGGCAATGTATGATGGAAAGATGCTTCTTAATGTACACCAAAATTGAAAGAAATCGGATCATAAATAATGGAGTTCACTTCTCAGCCATTAGCCGCTCCTTAGCAATATATTTTTGTATAGTTTTTAGGGTTGTATTCACTTTTTTTTGGCCTCATTTGATAGAATGGAAGATATGTTACAGAAACAGATATGAATTTGATTAGTTTCATGATGAAAAGTACCTTGAAATTGAGCTCAAATTAGGAGAAATGTTCAATTCTTCAGCGATGTTCAAGAGTAAACAAATGACATCACTGTCCAACACCTGTCTGACTGGCCATGCCAATATGCAGTCATGAATGGATTGACATTATTTATACAATCATTACAATAATGCAGAAGTCTGCATAACAGTAAATTTTCTATTTTTTGTGTGAATAAAAATTCAAAATGGTAAGCAAGAGTATTATTATAAGAATATGTATGTACTAATTAATAATAATAATAATAATAATAATAATAATAATACAGGTACCATCCGACTTACGACCAAGCTTGGTTCCGACCAACCAGTTGCAAGTCAAAATGGACGTAAGTTGAACCTTAACATTAAGATCGACAACACTCTAATTGCCAGACATAATGAAGGCAAATTCCTAGGCCTATACCTCGACAACAACCTGAATTTCAGCACCCATATTCAACACATAACAAAAAAAGTATCCAAAACGGTGGGAATCCTCTCCAAGATACGATACTACGTGCCGCAAACTGCCCTTCTTACACTATACCATTCACTTACATATCCATACCTCACCTATGCTATCTGTGCTTGGGGTTCAACTGCAGCAACACACCTAAAGCCAATAATAACCCAACAAAAAGCCGCAGTAAGAATAATCACTAAATCCCATCCCTGGCAACACACCCCCCACTCTTCATAGATCTAAACTTACTCCCTGTTCATAACATCCACACTTACTACTGTGCAATTTTTATCTACAGGACCTTAAAAATTCCAATATTAACTTGACCTAAACGCTTTCTGATAGTTGTGACAGGATCCACAGGCATAACACCAGACACAAACATCTCTATGACATTCCCCGTGTCCGACTAAACCTTTACAAAAATTCAATGTATTTCAAAGGACCTAAAATCTGGAACACCCTACCTGAAAACTCTAGAACTGCAGACACACCCCATCACTTTCAAAACTACAGTTAGAAAGCATCTTATCTCCCTGATACACCCCGACAACTAACTGCACGATAACCACCTGGTGGTTCACACTTACACTCACTCACCCATTTGACCATAAACAGAAATATTCTCAATCTTAAAATAATGAATCCTAACTAGTCATAAGTTGGCCTGTGATACTCCAATACTGAAACTATGTATTGTGCCAAAACAAAAGCATTCACATTGCTAAACTCACAAACTAGTATTTAGTCACTTAGCCATAATACCAACTTACCTCATAATTTGTAATATTTTAAAGTTAAGAATTAATCTAAGTTTATAGTCACCCACTGACTATAAACACAGAAATACTAATCTTAATCTTAAAATAATGAATCCTAACTAGTCATAAGTTTGCCTATGATACTCCAATATAGACACTTGTATTGTGCTAAAACAAAAGCATTCACATTGCTAAACTCACAAATTATAATGTAGTCACCTAGCCTTAATACCTTAATCTGTAAGGATTTAATGTTAAGTAGTAATCTAAGTCTGCCCGAAATGCCTAGCCATGCTAGGTGTCCTAGTGGCCCCCTCTGTAATTAGTACTTTATAACATGTAAACCACACAATATCCAAATCCTGTAAACCCCACATTGTAACCCTTATAGAGAATAAACTTGATTTGATTTGATTTGAAAATTGCCGGCATACTGGGTAGAGGATAATGTCAAACCTTTCCTATATAAACTACCTACATAGTACTGTAATGTAATGTACAATCATTATTTCATTATTTCATTCTTTTTACCATAATTTACTTCTGTTGTTATTTTTTTT